CTTGAATGCAGCACTAGATTGATCACAGGCGATTAGACAGTTTAACCACAAACAGCTTGTTCATTTTTCACAAATGAAAACCACATGTGGTGTAACTAAAATTTCAGGCCCTTTAAAAAAAAATTTTTTTGTAAGGGTTGGGGTATGTATGTGTGTGAGATGTGCTTAAATAAAAATAAAATGCAATCAAAAGAAGTTAAGTGTCTAGAGAAATGGAGAAGTTGCCTAGTTTTTTCCAGGTTCTTTTATCAAAACCTTCCTCAAATTCAATTTTTATACTTTTTTTTTTTTTTGGTACCAGCGATCGAACTCAGGTCCTTGCGCTTGCGCAGCAGGCAGTGAAACCACTGAGCTAAATCCCCAGCCCAGGAGATAGTAATAGTAAAGGAGATGGAGCACAAACCAGCATTAAGGAGATGCAATCCCTCTAAAGTGAAATTCAGGGCTGTGACTATAACACTGATAAATGCATCATTTATCCTTTGGTCCAGCAATTCCACCTCCAGCAGTCAATACTGCAGCTGCATGGCTCATGCAGGAAACCACAAATCCCCAAGGCCTGTCCCTGCAGCACCAGGATAAGGGGCCAGAGGTCATTCAGTGGAGTGCTACACAATTGTCAGAGGGACCAGGAGACTCTATGATCTCATTCAGAGTGGACTAGTGGCTACATAATCAAGAGAAAACTAGGGGTACAGAGCAGAATGAGAAATGAGCTACATTTGGGGCAAAGAGGGGGAGAATATAGGCATATATGTTCTTATTTGCTTGGATTTTCTTAAAGAAATATCAGAGAAGCTAAAAATTCAGTCACCCAAGTGTTGGGGCATGGGGAACAAACAGGGAGACTTCTCTGTGGACAACTTTGACAATAATAAAAACTAACACTTGTACAAAGAACCTGCTGCATGCCAGGCATTGGTCTGAGGAATTGCTTTATGTGTGAGAATCATTATTGTTACCAGCTGTAGTGTCACAAGGCTCTTCTGGCCAATATAAGTAGTAACCACATGTGCTCAACTCTATTCAAAGCACATTAACCCAAGGATTCATTGTATCCTAACAGCACATCCATTTTCTCTCCATCTTACAGTGGAGGAAACTGAGGTCTAGAGAAGTTGTGTCACTGGCTCCAGGCCCCACAACTAGAAAGTGACAGTGTTGGGATTTGAACCCAGGCTGCCTGGCTCCAGAGCCTGGTACAAGCATCACTTGTCTGTCTATCTGTCTTGCACTACCAGGGATCAAACTGGACATTTTACCACAGAGCTACTTCCCCAGCCCTTTTAAATTTTTAGTTTGAGACAAGGTCCCTCCGAGTTGCCAAGGCTGGGCTCAAATTTTCAATTCTTGTGCCTCAGCCTTCTGAGTAGCTGGGATTACAAGTGTGCTACCATGGCAACAAATAAAATATGTTTTTAAGCCAATATTAATTAAAAGACACTTATAATTCATTATTATGGGCCTCTTGTGTACCCAGCTATCACTTAATAACTACCATGATGTTACTGATGATGGCCAGCATCAGCCTATACACAACAAGGAAAAAAACCTATAGATGAGGAAGAGGAGGCATCCAGAAGTCAGGTTGTTCCCTTAAAGTCACATAGCTGGGGAAAAGTGGAGCTGCTAAGGTCCCAAACCCTCAGCCCCCATCCCAGCTCAGAGCTGCCACCTCCCAGCACACCCTCCATGGACCTCCCCAGCACCAAGAGTGTCTCACCAGAATAATGATGTTGCCCATGACCAGCAGCCCCACCACAATCGGAGACCCCTTCTCTCCCTCTGCTGCTGCAGATGCCATAGTCCTGCCTGGGACAGATGAGTGGAGATGAAGCCAGGCAGAGCCAGGAGAGGCGGGAAAGCCCAGCTGGACCCAGTCTCCACTCCACAGCCCAGCTGCCAAGGATGCTCTGCTTTCTACAGGCTGCAGGTTGCAGGCTGGCACCAAAGTGCCCAGCACCCCACACCCTGGCAATTAGCCCTTTCACAGCAGGGAAACCTAGGCTCAGCCCCAGTATCCCTGGCCAGAACTCAGGGCTAGCCTTCCTTGAACCTCAGCCCCTTCTAGACTCCCAGAGCCCCCTCCTCACCTTCTCTGCTCAAAGCCTCTCTGGCCAGCCCCACCCACAGAGGCTCCCTATATATGCCCAGGCCACTCCTTGGGCCAGTCTCCGAGGAAAGAGGGAGGGTGCCCAAAGGAGGGGACAACACCCCCGGCAGGCATGATGGGAGAAAAGATTTTATGAGCTCCCTGCCCCTCAAGTGATTTATAGACCTGAAATTCCAGATTGTGCTACTACCTGGTCACCTGGGCAGGGTGATGTGGCTGTGGCCTCTGGTTCCCAGGCTGTTTTGGAGGAGGGGAAGGTGGAGGTGTATGTGAGCACACCACTAGATATCCCTCTCCCTAGAAAATGGGTTTCCTGGGAGCAGGAGACTCCTGTGAATCTGTATCTTCCTCTGCTCTGTGTGACCTCAGAAAGCGGCTCCCCCAGGAGCCTGGGGTGAGGGGGCACAGGCAGGGACCTCGAAGGCTGGGGAGGACAGGGCTGGAGCAAGGGAGGGGGATGGGGAGATGAGGGGAGAGGCGGGAGGAGGCTGGGAGTTGGCTTTAGGGGCTGTGGCCTGAGGGGAGGATGCTGGGGGAGATGGGTGTGTGAGGGGAGTTTAGGAAGAGGATGGACAAAGCCCAAGAGTATGCCAGGACAGGATCGAAAGTTCGAGCCCAGCCTGGAGAATTTTGTGACTTAGTGGCACCCTGTCTCAAATTAAAAAATGAAAAAAACCACAGAAACCTGGGGATATATCTCAGTGCAAAGACCCTGGATTCAATCTGGCCAAAACGGGGAGAGAAAGGGACACAACTAATAGACTTGGTAGGAGAAAAGTCGTCGGGGCCCCTAGTAAACACACACACATGCACACACACACACACACACACACACACGAACAAAGCCAAGGGGAGGGGGACATGCGTGCTGGTTGTCAGGTGAAATTGAATACCCAGGAATCCATCCAAGAGTGTCATCTCGGGGCAGTTGTTGCCCCTTGTTGGACCCTAAAAATTTTACTTCTTGTTACATGGAAGGATTTACACTACAAACTTTGGACCATGAAATGACCTTACTAACCCTGGTGATCAGGCTGCTTGAAGATTTCACTGTTTCTTAGATGCTGGACAAATGCCTACGGGGATCATCTTTGACCATTTTCAACATGACCTTTTAAAATGAAAAACTTGCTATTCTATTCATATTTATGAAGTCTTTGGATGGGAAAAGGGCTTTTCCAGATTTAAAATTTGTGATAAAGGCAATTTTAAAGAAATAAAGTTTTGGGGCCAGGGATTTAGCTCAGTGTATCTGGTGCCTGCTGCACAAACGCAAGGTCCTGAGTTCGATCCCTGGTACCAGAAAAAAAAATTAAATTTTAAAAACAAATTACCAAATTGTTTTCCAAGGCAGAGTACAGTGGTGCCTTGGTTCACAAACTTGATTCTTTCCACAATTCTGGTCACAAACCAAGTTGGACAAGAGCCAAATCAAATTCAATGGTTAGGTTCAATGTTGACCTTATGGGGAAATCTGATTCAGTTCTCATCCAGTTCAGTTTGCAACCAGAATTGTGGAGAGAACTGAGTTTGTGAAAGGAGGCAACGCTGTATTTCAAGCCTTTGTTAATCCATAAACTGTTTCCCATCTATGTTGAAGAAACAATGGCATTTTTCTGGTATAACATCCCACTGCCTGCATTTTGCTTGTCCTTCCTTGTGAGGTTATTTAGTTTGTGTCCCAGACTCCATGCGGAATGAAAACTTCGTATTCGTAGCAAAGCAGAATCTCAGATCCACCCCAACCTGCTGATCCAGAATCTGCATTAACAAGATTCCTGAGTACCTTGAATGCTCCAGCTTGCTGCACCTTAGAACTCCCTGGGAGCATTAGCACTCTCAATGTATGGCTGTACCCCAGATTGATTCTCTAGAACCTTCTGGGTTTGGTCATGATGGTGGTTTCTTGCTTCTACACAGTTACAGTGGTATTTTTTTTGGTACTGGGGATTGAACTCAGGTCCTTGTGCTTGCGAGGCAAGCAGCAGAACCACTGAGCTAAATCCCAGGCCCTGCAGTGGTAGAGTTTTTGACAGGGCTCCAATAAATTCCTCCCCCCAGTAGGTTCCTTCCTCTCTTGACAGAGTTCCTCCCTATACCTCAACTTCCTCATTCCTGATTGCAGAGGGGAGGTAACAAGGCCCTATGGCATACCTGTTCTGTAGTATTTCTTCTTTCCATCTATCCATCCTTCCTCCTCTCTCTCTCTCTCTCTCTCTCTCTGTACTGTGGACTGAACCTGGGTTCTTTGCATTTAACTACATCCCCAACCTTTTTTTATTTTAAATTTTGAGACAGGGTGTCACTAAATAGCTAAGTTGCCCAGGCTGAGCTCGAACTTGTGACCCTCCTACCTTGCCCTCTTAGACTGCTGGGATTATAGGCATTCTCCACACCAGGATATTTCTTGAGTCATTTCTGCAAAGTCAGGCTAGAGCCCACTTCTCCAGATTTGTATTTTAAATTTCTACCTCATTCTAAGCACTTTTGGAAACCACTGAAAGTTTCCTTTTTAGTTTTTTTTTTCATTTCATTCATAAATATTTGTTTGTTTGTTTGTTTTTGGTACCGGGGACTGAACTTGGGACCTTGTGCTTTCGAGGCAGGCAGTGGCACCACTGAGCTAAATCCCCAGCCCTCAGAAATATTTGTTATACTCAGTATTTTTAAAAGATAATAGCTTAAAATACACCTCAATGTTGTCATCACACCTAAGAAATTATTTTTAATACCCAGTCAGTGCTCAAGTTTGTCTCATAAATGTCATATTTTAATAATTTGCTTAATTTGGGATCTAGACATATTTTTAAAAATGTGTGTGTGTGTGTGTGTGTGTGTGTGTGTGTGTGTGTGTGTGTGTGTGTGTCTATGTTAGGGATGAAACCAAGGCCCTCACACATGCTAGGCAAGTGTTCTGCTACTGAGCTACACCCTCAGCCCTTAAGTATCTTTTAATCTGTATTCTTCCTCTATATCTCCTTTTTCCTTGCCTTTATATTTATGGGAGAAAGTGTATCATTTTTCTGTTACTTTCGAGTCTATGTTTTTCCAATTGGATGCCATAATGCAGTTAAACACATTCGTTCCTCTGTAATTCCCGCAGATCAGAAGTTCAATCTAGGAGTATAGTCAGATTCAGGCTTGAAATTTTTGGCAAAACTACTTCATAGGTGGTGGCAAGTGCTTTTTGGAGACACATCATGTTTGATTGTTGTCTTAGTTCATTCAGGCTACCCTAGTAAAGTACCTTACCGAAATATCAAAGCATCTCATGGGGAATAGGTATGTCTTTCTCACAGTTCTAGGGGCTGGGAGGTTGAAGAACAAGGTGCTGGTGGCTTCCGTGTCTGGTGAGGGGCTGCTTTCTGGCGCGTGGACAGTGCTTGCTTGCTGTGGCAGAAGGGGTGAGTCACCTCTCTGGTTCTCCTGTAAAAGAGCACTAACCCCATTCATGGGGACTCCATCTTCATGACCTAGCCTCTCCCAAAGGCCCCTCTTCCCAATACCATCACCTTGGAGATTAGGATTTTAACATACAATTTTTTTTTTGTTTTGTTTTTTGTTTTTTGTTTTTGGTACTGGATATTGAACTCAGGGCCTTGCTCTTGCGAGGCAGGCGGCGGCACCACTGAGCTAAATCCCCAGCCCTTGGTTTAAAAAATTTTGAGAGGACACAAACATTGAGAGCACAGCAATTCTCTTTTGGTGATGTTTGCAACCATTACTGCCCAATGCCCAGATCCACTAGGGGTTACAATATGCTGATATTCTAATTACATCTTTCCTTCTTTAGTTATTAGCTGGAATGCCAATTCAAAACAGAAAACCCTCCTGGAAAGCTATATTCAAACCTATAAAATATGGGGTCATGTTGAGTTGAGTACAATGAAATGAGGGTCTGAGGGAAGCCAACTATGTTATAGCCAGATGGATGTCCATCACAGGGTTTTACTGTTTCAAATTCCTCACATTAAAGCTGGGTATGGTGGTGCATACCTGTAAGGACCATTGTGAGTTCCAGGACAGCTTGGGCTACATAGTGAGTTCAAGGCCAGCTCGAACTACATAGCCAGACCCGTCTCAAAAAACAAACGCATTGTAACCCCCTTTCTGCTTAATATGCCTTGGGAGGTTAGTACCCTGCCCTGAACTCTCTTTTATAAAGTCACCCCAAAAGGAAACCCACAGCTTTCTGACCTAGAGGTGGGGGCTGGAAGCCTGTCAGTTTCCTCACTTGAGTAGTCCTAATCCTCTGCTGAGCAGTTGGAAGGCTAAAATGTGCTCAGCATGGTAGCTTTATAGCCTGCCGCTCTACTGTAAGGGAGGACCTGGTAGAAAGTCCCATGTTTGCCTGAACCCAGGAAGACTGACAAATGGTCTTGTGACCACCTCCTGCAAGAGAGGCGGAGGAGAAACTGCCTCATGGCCACTCCACACAAGGCTGCTATCTCTCTCTGGGTCTTGAGGAATCACAGGGTGTTCTGCCAAGGTTCCAGTCAGACCAGACCACAGTTAGGTCTCCCTTGAGTGGCTTATGTGGATTTGTGCAAGATTGGGGGTGTCATGGACGAATTGTTCCCCACAGTATCACCTGATAGGTTGTTTCCAATGGCCAGAAGGGAAAACAGACTGTTCCATCAGAGATAGCTGTTGGGCACTATCTTTCCCAGGGATTAGACTCAGCTATCACTATCAGCAACAATGTGGCATGGGGTGCGTGGAGAAATAAGGACGCACACAGGAAGAAGGGTTCTTGCAAAAAATACTTGACCTACATCTAATCAAGCCTGCAGAGCTAAGTTCCAGCTTATAAGATGATGGAAGATGAACGACACCACGAAGTGAGGTAAATTCAGAGTGAGATATATTCTACAAGACAACTTGCTTAGTTTCTTTAAAAATTATTTTACATAGCAGGGTGTGTCATGTGAAGAACTATTGAAGAATTATATATAAAAAAAGCCAGGCTCAGTGGCACATACCTACAATCCCAGCATTTTGGGAGGCTGAGGCAGAAGGATCACAAGGTCAAGCCCTGCCTGAGCAAATTAGT